GGATTGATTCAGTGACTGGGGTAATCGGGATGGGTATGTCAGAGGCAGTGCGATTGGCACAGGATAGAGTAGGGTTTAGGGCTGTTGTACATAGGGTCGCTATGAGTCACAAGTGACTCAACGGCCCATAACAACAACTTTGCAAATTGTCTTCGGCCTCTTTCATATCTGGGGTTTCATTCGTTCCCTGTGCCACATATTTCTAATGTTCATCTGTGATTTAGAAATAACATCTCACCTCTCATTTACTTTCTGTGAATCTATGTAAATGGTACAAAACATTTCTTTTCCTACTGTCATCAAAGCCTTTAGGCCAGTTCTGAAAGGTTTCTCCTTGGTTCCGTCCCTGCAGCATTGCTGCCTAATGATCTGAGACACAGAGCTCGCCTAGCACCATCCTTGTAGTTGCCTTGGCCACGTCCAAGGACATAACATCCTCCACAGGGGCTAGGTCAGCCCAACATGCACCTACAGCTCTCTAGCCATTCTATTCTCATTCTCTCCCCATCCTCAAGTCTATTGTAACAGAGGTGTTAATGCAATATTTGTTCTCCGGTGACTTTTTCTCTCAGCATGATGTTCTCCAGACTCCCCCATGTTGTTTAACGTTTTATGAGTTAACTGTTTTTCAATCTGTGTAATACTCCATTGTGTGACTATACCATAGCTTTTCTAGCCATTTTTGTTGATGGTCACATGGGTTGTTTCCAACTTTTCTGCTATTGTGGATAATGCCAGCAATAAACATGGTGTGCATACATCTCTCAGAGTCATGGCTCAGGTTTCTGTATATTCCCAGTAGTGGAATCACTGGGTCACATGATATTTCTATTTCCAACTTTCTTAGAAAGTGACAGACCACCTTCAATAGTGGCTGTACTGTTTTACATTCCCACCAGCAGTGGGAATTCCTTTACTTCATAAAGTCTTTCCAGCACATAAACGAAACGTAATGTGCCATTTTCTAAGCAATTTTTAATTCTGCACTTAGGAAATTACGTTGTATGTTAAAGAATATCGTTGTTGTTGTTGTTATGTGCCATTGAGTCGTTTGCGACTCACAGTGACCCTATGTACAACAGCCCTAAACCCTGCTTTCTCCTGTGCCAATTGCACTCCTCTGACACACCCATCCCGATTACCCCAGTCACTGAATCAATCCACCTCATAGAGGGTCTTCCCCTCTTGTGCCATCCCTCCATCCTCCCAAGCATGATGTCCCTCTCCAAGGACCTGTCCTTCCTTGCAACATGCCCAAAGTATGTCAGACGAAACTCCAGAATCCTTGCCTCCAAGGAGCAGCCTGGTTTACCCTCTCCAGGATGAATCTATTTGTTTTCTTGGCAGTCCATGGTACATTCAATACTCTTCTCCAGCACCACAGCTCAAAGGCATCAATTCTCCTTCTGTCCTCCCTAGTCATTGTCCAACTCTCTGATGCATAACAAGTGATTGCAAAGACCATATGTAGATTTAGTAAAATCATTTTTATCTTTGCTCAAGTTAGTACTTTCCAAAAATGGTACGAAAACATCACAGCTCAGTTCAACTCAACACAACTCACTGTTATGGAGTCAAAACTGATTTACTGTAGATTTTCAGAGGCTGTAAATTGCATAAGGGGAGACTGCTCATCTTTCTTCTGTAGGGCCACTGGTGGATTTGAATCTGAGTTGGCAGTAAACAGTAAACGCCTACCACTAGGCCACCAGAGTTGTCATTGTTATGTGTCCTTGAGTTGACTATGACTTATGGTGACTCTAAGAACAGTTCTGAACTCTGCTTTCTGAGGCAATCTTACTGTCTCTGAAACACTTGCCCAAAGTACCACAGTCACTGCATCAATTCATCTCATCCAGGTTCTTCCTCTCCTGTACTGACTCACCACCCTTCCAAGCATGATGTCCCTCTCCAAGGACTGGCCCCTCCTGGCAACAAGCCTAAATGATGTGAGATGGAGCCTCAAAACCCTTGCCTCTAGAAGCAACTTGGTTTCACCCTCTCTAGAACAGAGTTGGTAGTCCATGGTATGTTCAATACTCTACATACACCCCAATTCAAAGGCATTGATGATTCTTTTGGCATCCTTAGTAACTGCCCAGCTCTCAGATGCATAGCAAGTAATTGGGAAGACAATGGCTTGGATCAGGTATACCTTAGTCTTTAGACTGACAAGGTTGCTCCTTAGCACTCTAGGGAGGTTGCTGACAGATTTTCCCAAAGGAATTAATCTTTTGATTTGCTGGCTGCTGTTGTTGATTATGGACCCAAGCAAGATGAAATTGTTAACAATCTCAATCTCTTCTCCATCTATCATGATGCTGCCAAATGGCCTTGTGGTAAGAATCTTTGTTTTCTTGATGTTGAAATGCAATCCATACAGAAGATTGCAGTCTTTGACTTTCTGCAGCAAACATTTCAAGTCCTCTTCAGTTTCAGTGTGCAGGGTTGTATCATCTGTATAATGCAGATTATTGATAAGTGATGCCACATTTTTCTTCTTAGAGTCCAGCTTCCTGAATCATCTGTTCCACATAGAGATTGAAAAGGTATGGAGAAAGGACACATCCTGACACACTCCTTTCTTGACTTTGAACTCTGCAGTGTTTTGTTGCTCTACTCACAAGACTGTTTCCTAGTCTAGGTACAGGTTTCGCATGAGCATTATCAAGTGTTCTGGGATTCCCATTCTCCTCAATGTTAGCCACCATGTGTGGCTAACACAGATAACAATGTTATGGTTTTTTTGTTTGTTTGTTTTTAAGCAAAATGCTTTTCTGTCAGATATTATACTAAAGTTGAGTGTTCAATTTAAGGCAGACTAGGAATAAGGATTTGCTATCCACTTCTGAATTAACAGGCTTTGGAAACTCTCTGAACAATAGAGCACGCTTAGACACTGGTGGCTGAGCCCTCGTATTGGGCCACCAGAATAGGAGCTCGTTTGCTAAAGACATACACACACATAAAGCTGTTGCACAATCATATTTTGCTTTTTCAGGCTAAGATCTAACATAGAGAAATGTGACTTATTTCTTATTTAAATATCTATATCTGAACAAATAAGTGCTATTTTCCTGTAAATCAGTTACCTAAAAAAGCAATATACTAACTCAGTGATGGATCCTTCCAGTAGAGACATTTTTTCAAAGATGCACTGATTTCTAGTGAGCTGGAGAGGACAGGCCAATGAGATTATACTATTTTTTAGTTAAAGCACACACACACGTAAGATATCACCACACGATAATTAAGATTTTCGTTTTTGCGGACAAATTTCTTTTCAAAGTAATTCTAAGAAAAATATCCTAGAAATCATCAAGAGTTAGATGCTCATTTGAATGTATAAATACATCTACATATGTTTGAAAAACTCATTATAATCACACTACAAATAAACTTGCTTCATATGTCTATAAATATCTACAATGAAAACACTGGCAGTTACAAGCAACTTTACTCTATAGCATTTGTTAGCTAAAATCGGTGATAATACTATTGAGAAATTTTTTTCTTGTTTTGTTTTCACTGCAAGCATTTTATTGACTGTGAGCAGGAAGTAAATAGAGGGCACTGGCAAATTGAGATGAAAAAATGGAGACAGAGAGTCATAATTGCTATAGGCAGAAAGTAGGCTACGGAGTTACCGCAACTACTATGGAAAAAGATGACTCAAGGGTGGAAACAAGAGCCCAGAGGGTGGAGCAAACAGCCTGTGGAGAGCACTGGGCCACAGAAAGCTGCAGAGCAGAATTATTCTGGACCAGTGTGAACTTCCCAAGCACAGTGTTTCAACAAAGTATTTAAATTTGCTAAATGAAAAATAAGAACAATACTCTTTTAAGTAGCTTCACTTTACTTGGCAGAAATAAATGAATAAAACTAGGAGTTGAGGAGAAGCAAAGGAGAAAAGTAAGCACAGAGTCAAAGATTCTATTTATTATTTCCCTATCCTAATAATTCCTGTTAACAATAAAAAAAGAAATAACAATCAAGAAACACATTCAAGTAACTCTTGCTAACAATAAAAAATAACAATAAAGAAACATATATTTGAGCTTAGATAAGTTGTGATTCTTTTCAGAATAAATTTATGTAATTAAGAATAAATGTATTTTGATTAGCATAATAACTGCAAAACTTAGAAACTACATTCTAAAACAAGTTATAAATTATATAAATGTGGAACTGGTTCCTCATTTAATACTAGCATAAATAAAATACTCATCACTACATTAGATTAGAAGTTTCATTTTTTTCAAAAGGAAAAAAAAATCTAAATAGTGATTCAGCTACTTCCAAGGATCTTGACCTAAAAATATTCATATTAGAAAAGGCAGTATTTCAAATTCAAATGTATAAATTCAAACACCTTTAAGTTCACAGAGTAAGAGAGTCAAAGTCATTTTTATTGTAAGACATCAAGGAGATCTGTATTCTTTCTGATAATCAGATCTGTATTCCTTCTGACAATCTGTATTTTTGCTCATAATCCAAGCACGCTCATTTGTTTTCATTGCACTTCTTTCTCTACACAATCATATCCCAGCCCTTACCTGTGCAAGTGTTTCATCCAACCATTTGGAATGATGCTGAGGATTAGCAAGAAGCCATTTGATGGCTGCACTATAGACCAGCTTTTCACTCTCAATATTTAAATCACTGGAAGACAAAAGCTTATGGAGGTGCTGGGGTGACACACTTACAAAGTCTTCACACTCCACTACTTCAGTAAAATGCTCGCAGGCATACTGATCCGCCATGTCCATTAAGTCTATGCGATTGTGACTTTCTGCGAAAGCTCTTACTGCCAGGCAATTAGATGGATGAAAATGTAACTTCATGTATTCACAGCAAGCTCGAGCTACCAGTTCAACCTGCAGAATGCAGGCTGCATATAAGAGAGGCTGGACGTTGTCGACAGTCAAAGTGAGCCGCGAAGAATAGACAAACTTTACCAAATCTTCTATTGCATCACCATCAAAATCTCTGATTTCAATCAGTGTTTGCTTGGCTTCAGCCATTTCTGAGAGAAACATAGCTCTGAAGTAGGGAATGACACAAGCCAATACCAGCTTGTGACAAGAGATTAGCTTTGATCCAACCTGTTCAAGATGAGAAAAAAAATTACTCAGTATAGAATCAAAACCCTCATAACATCAGCATAAAGTATGTTGGTATTAGCGACAGTAACCTCACATGATGTAAAGCTTTAGTGCATTTGCTTTAATAATGTAATCCTTGGGTCTTCTGATCTAGACCAATTTCATAGCCTAGATATTTTCTTCCTTATTAGTCAATTTTCTCTTAGGAGCCTTGGTAGTATTTGTTGCTAGCTAAAATTTGGAAGTCTGAGCCCATCCATGAAGTCTGAGGAAAAATGGTATGTCATTTACTTCTGTAAAGATTACAGCTAAGAAAACCCTATGGGGCACTCCAGCTGTCACATGAGGTCACTAAGAGTTGACACCAACTAGCTGGCACCCAACTAAAACCTTTCATACATACAGTGAGCTATGATCTTCCATGTTATCACAGTATTTCAAGAGCATTTTGTGAATTCATTCCTTCAATATAATCCAATGTTTTTCAGTATATTCTAAGTGTTTTTCATATATTTATGCGTTTGCCTCCACATCCCTATAAAGAGGTATTACATCTACTTCCTAAAAAAGAAAAAAGCTTCTGGAAACTATGAATTTTGATAAATGTTGATAGTTATAGAAAGGCTTCAGGCCTTTTGTTCACAGGGTCACTATGAGTTGTACTCAACTCGAAGGCAATCAACAACACCACTTATGAGCAGGAGCTCTGGTAAGAAGTTGCCTGCCAATCCAAAGTCTGAATCTACAAGCTCCTCCTTGGGTGAAAGATGGAAAATCTCCTCCTGTATGATTTATAGTCTCTGAAAAAATCACTTGGAGTGTCAGCTGTTGAGTCACTTACAACTGGACAGAAGAACTACAACAATTACTCACAATTCATTGATGAGAAAATGAAGTCACAGCATAAATAAAATATTTAGTAGTCTTTATTACAAACAAAGTAGATGTTTTAATTTTCTATTTGCATTATTTTAAAATTCTATATTTTATAGAAAAAAATCCAGATACTTTATCACCTTAAATTTTGTAAGTTAGACTGCTTCTAATAGTTTACCATTACAAAGGACAAAGAATTTCTTTGAGTGGAAGCTGATTTAATATACAATTAGGACATATACTGACATACTTTGGACATTTTGCAAGGAGGGACCAGTCCTGGGAGAGGGTCTTCATGCTTGGAACAGTGGAGGGACAGTGCAGGAGAGGAAGATCCTCGATGAGATAGATTGATTCAATGACTGGGGATAGGTGTGTTGGAGACAATGAATTTGGCACAGGATAGAGCAACATTTAGAAATGACTTTTCTTACAAAGGACCTTTTCCAAGAAAATTACAAAACATTACTACAAGAAACAAAAAGAGATCTTGAAAAGTGGAAGAATATCCCTTGC